CCTCAAGAAGGGATTGTAGAGCCCAATATACAGTCCCATCTAGCAGCATCCCTCAGTATTCAGGGGAGAATGGCCAGTGCCATGAATTGGGTCCCTGAAACATCTTGTAGGCTTTTATCTGGAAATGATTCACTGGAAGAGTGTGAGAAGGCAGAGAACACCTATTCAGTTCAAATTCAGTCAAAGCATTTGGATTTTACTTGGTTCAAATTCTACATGGAGTAGGGGAAAAAATGGCAGAAAAAGCAGGAAGATAGCAGAAAAAGAAAAAAAATGTAAATACATAAATGAAACAATCCTAAATCAAGAGTTGATGTGCTGCTGAAGCAACACATTCTTCAAAAACCAATTGGTCAGATTGGAAATATTTTCCCATAAGCTACTGAGAAGCACTCAGTGCTTCTCTTCAATGATAGTTGCACATCATGAGCAACATTTTCGACCCTGTCCAGGCAGTATAGAAAAGAAACATCAAATTAACAAAACAACCACCCCATTACTCCAATCAAAACAAAGAAAAAAGTGAGTTGCAGATTAGCTCTCCCTCTACACAGAAGACAAGTTTGGGATTTTCTACTATGCCATAACTCTAAACAACTATCTATTTTTTAACTCAGCATCGCAAAATACACACACAAAAATCTCAAGAATTTACAGCTGCAAACAGGATTTAAGGGAAATCTTTATACAGTTCAAACTCTCCAATCACTACTGTTTCTGCTAGCATTTTGAGTGTTTTTCCTTATGAAAACAAACTCTGAAAAGAGAAAAAACCCAAACAGATTAAACAACTAAGAAGTCAACTCAAAGTAAGGTACATATTTTCACTGAAAAGCACCTGCTGCAGGGTATCTTGTTGCAAGGTGGGCATTGATGCATCCTTGCATTCAGAAGTAGCTCCCACCATGGTCCCAGCAAGGATCAGCACTGAGGCAGGGAAAAAGTAGGCCTGATGTAGCTTTTCAAATTGATGCTGCTTGTGGAGAGGAACAAACAGCTGATCTCCAACTGAGGGGCTGACTCTCGTCATTTATTCATGGCCAGCCCCCTGCCTGGATGGAAATAAAAATGTTTCAAAGATGACTGTGTGGGGGAGCTGGAGGACAGCTTCGAGGCACACTGAGGTTAGCACATTAATTTTTTATCTCTGGAGACCGGGTATCCAATTATGCTTAGAGTACACAAACAACTTTGGCTGGTCTCTCCAGTAGAGATTTATCCATGTAATAAAATCTGTGATGGAACGGGGCACAACAGGCTGATGCCATGAGATAATGTACCCAGGTGGTTTTGCAGGGCAGATGCTTAAGCTAGGAGAGGGGCAGGAGGGCACAGGAATGCATCCTCCTAAACTCCATGTACTGCACTATAGATCAACCTGCACTCAATACAATGTACTTCATTTAGGATTGTCATTGGCCAAAGTGCTTGTGGGCATAAGATCCTGTTCAGTTGCTGTTTCTGCACAGCCACCTGCAATCAACATTTCCCACAGCAAAATGCCACTGAAAATTCTTCTCCTTTAAAGGAGAGGAAGTTTTTCTACATGTAGATACACTATCCTATTCTCCCAGGAATTAAGAAAGAGCATTTTATACTAGGACACTCATTCACAGAAACATTTCAATAGATAGAAGTCTAATGTAATTCCTATATCAGAAGTGTCTCAAAATTAGTGAGCACCAGCTGCCCCCAGAGCTGGCCTGTACCCATGGAGAGAGATGGAATAAAACAGCAGATGTTTTGTGGCAGGCTTGGATGCACCCTGGGCTCACAAATCTCACGGTCTCGGTGCCAACATGTAGAGGAAAAGCCAGCAGAGAAAAAGTCTGAAAATGGTGTCAGATAATTTATTTTTTCAGTGGAGTTGAGGAAAGGGGAAGTTGACTTTATAAAGGGTTTTCTATAATTTCCTTTTCACAGTTCAATACTCAGGTAAAAAAAAAGAGAGGAGGTGAGAAATAAATTTATGTATAGGCAGAGGCAAGACTAGACACTGAGCAAGGGCTATTTATTTGTGTCAAAGGGCTAGATAAAGCATACAAACAAGCCACTAAAGCTCAAACAGAACACAGGCTTGGCTGTTGACTGTTGAACTATCTTTCATGTTGCAATAGGTAATCTATATGTGAGAAAGAAGGACAGAAGGAGAGAGAGATGTAAAGGGATGTAAACAGACAAACCTTCTACACAGTCAAGGACAGTGAGATGTGCAAAGGAGGTGAGATGTGGGACTTGGGCCAGTCCCAGTTTTCGATGCACACCTACTCAATGGTTCTCTTAGGTAGGTTCCTCCTATCTACATCTCTTTTCCAGTCTCAGGATAATTTTCTGATCTACTCAGATTGGTATGTGCATGAAATAGAGGGGACTGAATATGCAGAAAGACAAGAGGCTTTCAGGTCTTCATCAGTTAGGGCATCAATAGTTGAATCCTGCAGAAGCCCTGCTCCCTCCTGCATCACCAGGGCTGCTGTTACTGCAGGTTCTGCCAGGAGCGGAAGCTGTAGAGGAGATGTGGCTACAAAGGAAGGAAGTTCATGCTGCAGCTGCCCGCCTGAACTTTACTGACCTAGTGCTCACCTCCCACGGCACAACAAATTCCAAACGGCTGGTTTGATTTGCCTTCCCTTTTCTAAATCAGGCTGCTCATATCTCTGACACACTGCTCAGCAAATAACCAGATCCTACTCTACATCATATCTCTGGTCCTCCTGTTCAGTGGGTTGTGGATTAGCTGTTTGGATTAACATGCCTCTGCCTTCCCTCCCTCCCACCTGCCCCACCCCCCATGCAGAGAGGACTCTTGAAGCTCAAGACCTACAATGCTGCAGACCTGTCAAATCTAATTCATAACACATGCCTAGCAGTTCTGAGGGGAGAGGAAGGATCTGATGCTCTGGCTCCCCACCATCCCCCTGTACAAAGGGACCATTTAATGACTGCACATTAGCAATGTGGACAATTAGCATTCACATGGAAGATAAATGGCAGCATAAATTAAATATCGCCAAGTGGAAGAGCAAAGATGTAAGATCTGAGCTCAAGGCTGTAAACATACAAACAGGCAAAAAAGGAACAAACAGCCGCTGTGACAGCCTAACCATTTGGGACAGTTACCTTCCAGCATCTGGGACTTTCCCCAAGGCTGATCTGCACATTTGCACGGCTGTTGCCCATACCTCACTGGCTCCTGGCTGGTTACTCTTTCCACTCAGGAATCTGGGCATCAGAGAAGTTTACCCCAAAGGTTCTAAATTTCTGCCTGCTTGTGGATCTGCACAACAGCAGCTTCCCTTTGCCACATGCTCTGGGGAAAAACAAGCCCAAGCAGCTCTCATGCTATTTCCCATAGTGTAGAACACACTTTTTTTACCATGGGCCAAAGTCAGCTGCTCCTAACCTTACCATAGGTTTTCTAGCTCTTCTTGATAACTTCCATAATTTCCTAACCCCAGAGACACAAGGACTGAAATCTCTTCTGATATCAAATCTATGTCAAGCTGAATTCAGGGCATGGGACACTACCCTTCTTTCTTTGGGCATCTATTACAAGACCATTATCAATATTAATTCAATACAGATTTGCAATATTCCACTTAGGTATGCAACTATTACTGGCTACTGCAGACTCAGGAAAAAAAACAACCAACCAACCAAAAAGCCCCCAAAGCTGATGAAAATGTTAAGTAAACAAAAGCTACTGGCTGAACAGTGACATTCCCCTGCCTGCCCAAGTAGTCAGTCTTAGTGCATTGACAGCTCAAGTTTATCAACAGCTGGAGAAGTCAAAATTACTCTTGCTGTGAATCTACAAAACATGTGAATAACTAAAAGGTAGAGCATAAAAGTGACAGGAACATAAAGCTTGCCAAATGGGATCACACTAAACAGTCCTTCAAGCTCAGACAGTGGCTAGTAGCAGATGCTTGGGAGGAAGGAAACCCCCTCCCACACCTCCCTGGGGACAATTATCAATTATACTGCTTAGAAAGACAATGTTTTCCTACTTCCATATTTCTTGCAGTTCTTAAGGTATTAGAAAGCGTTTTTCTGCATATTTTTCCCAATAAGAATTTTATTGCTTTATTACTTTGAACTAAAATAACACATATCACATGCTGATCCAAAAGAACTTGTTGAAAGTGAACAGAGCTATCTACACAAATCCCAAGGTCACACAGTACTGCACTCTGGAAAAACTGAGAAACAGGGAATTAGGGACTTGCAAAAATCAGTAATAGAACAAGTCTCAATTAGACAATTAAGTCTCCTTAATTTCTTGTTCTGTGCCTAAGGAGGATAGAAGAGACAGTCAGATAGGGTGATGGACCTTATGCTCACACTGAGCATATGTGATTCATCACATAAAAATTTGGACCACTTAGATTTCTTTCAGCACTGTACCAGTGTGGGAAATTGAGGCACATTTTCCCTTCATGTTCCAGTTCTCCTCCTTGCAGATCAGTACTGATGTGTTTTCATAGCTTTTGCCAAACTGTAACTAAGAAGCAGTTTTGGCAAAGTTGAGGGTAAGCTGTTTGTGCAGCAGGTGAAGGTGTAAGGGAGAAAGGTGCTGTTATTTTCATACTGAAAAACTGAGACATTGATAAATATCTTTTATTTAAAGGCAAAATAAAGGCAGCCCCCTGAAACTACTGGATGTGTATTTCTTTGACATCCTTACTAAGAGCCACTGGGAGGCTGCTTGATGATGGGCATGTTGGGCATCTCTTCTCTTCCCCCCTTTCCTTGCCACCTCCTCCCCACAGGAGCAGTAATGGAAAAGTGACTTGCTGCAGAGATAATGCTGGGTTTGAAATGAATTTCTGACTAGCTGAGCCAGCACCCGTGTGAGCTGTGGCTGATTAGCTCCAAGCATCCAGGTCCCAATCACTCACAATTGAGCCAGGCAATAACACAAGCCTCCCCAAGGCAAAGACAGGATGGAGGCAACACCCCTGAAAAGATCTCAAAGGCAAAGGGAAAATCCTACTCACGTTTGTGGTTCTCATTTCGGTGGACAGGGGAAGAGCGGGTCTCCTGCTCGCGGGCTTCATCACCCTCTTCGCTGGCAAGGTGGGTGTGAGCATAGTGGTAGCTCAGCCCAGGCCTGTTCTTGTAACGCTTGCCACAGACTAGATGGAAAGGAGATATAAGGGAGGGGGAGACAGAATAGAAACATCAGTGTGATCTACAACCACAGCAGCATCCTCTCCAATAATGCTCCCTTTTCCCCTGAGAATGGCACCATGTACTCCATGTGCCTGCCCAAAACTCTTCCAGTGGGCACTGGTGGAAGGTGACAGAAGGCAGCCCTGCAGCTGCAGGTCCCCAGACAAGCTTTCTTCCCACCACGCTGCCAGCAGTCCTTCCCACAGGCCTAGGCAAATGCACATTCAGTCCCTGCAGATCACAGAGCCCTAATCCTCTCTGCTAAGATTACTAACAAGACTGCACATAAAATTAAATGAAATGCCAGTTCCAGTGGTGATGCTGCACAAAGCACAGCAATGGGAACAAGACTGAGAAGAAAGGATATTATTTTCTTCATTACTGATCTCTGAAAAAAGGAAACAGCTGGGATTTTTTTTTAAAGACTTTCTCTAAAAGGTTAATAAATAGCTTTATTCACAGATTCCCAATTAAGACAAGGAGATGGAAATCATCCACAGTTTCTTGCTAAAAAACACGTGGTATCAATACTTATTTGCCCAGGTAAACTTCATATTCGGCATCCCAATAAACAATATAATGTGTGACAGAGAATCCTGCTTCTGAACTTTCATTTATTTTAGGATTAAGTCAACAGATATTAAGGACAGAATCAAGCAACCCAGGGTGATGAAAGGTCTACATTTTCACAGGGAACTTACAGCAAGGGCAGGCAACATTTTAAGATTCATTACATATAAATTGATTTTCTATAAAGTTTTTAATTCACATTATCATCTCAAAAATTTATCACTTTTCATTTTCAAAGCATTCTCTGAATGTTCATTTTCTTTTATACAGCTATTCTGTCTACCAAATACAAATATTGCCAGTTTAAAAGATTAGAAAACAAAGACAAAAAGTTTAGTGCTCTTCTTGCAAGTTTTTACTCCCAGAGACATTTTCAGGCACTTTATTACCTTGATTAACCTCAAGGATTTCACACAGGAATAAATGTCATGTCCAGCAGTCTGTCCTGCATAGCTTAGAAGGCCAAAGGAAATGGTGCCAGAAGGGAGAACAGAATCCTGTTTTTATAACCCCCTGAAAAGGATCTCCAAGGGGTAAATGTCCATCCACTCCTAAAAACTTAAGTTGGCTCCAATATGTATCCTTTAACATATATAGATACTTACTTCCCATTCTCCAGACACCTGAGTCTGGGAATGTCAAAGACTCCACAGATAAATTTTTAAAAAAAAATTTAAAAAAACAAAAACAACAACAACAAAAAGCCATGACAAATCCTCTCATCCCATTTATTCATTTATATATAAATAAAACTTAAAATTTTATACCTTTCTGCTTCTACTCAGAAAACAACTGATGTTCCACCTTTTGGAACAGATTACAGAAAATTTTAAATAAAAGCCTATTACAATAATATATTTCATTCTTAATCTCTTCTAACTGATTTAAAAACTCCCTCAAGGAAAATGCATTTCTTTATTAGAAACATGTAAAACAAGCTCATGATACGTATGAGTGATCTGGAATATTAGATATTTTATCCCAGTTTTCTTCATTGTGCAAGGTGATGATCACAGAGTCATCATAACAGGACAGAAGTTTCTTTGAAGTGCAGTATGTCTTGTCCTCAGTCACAGATTTTTTAAGTCTTTGCATGGCCTTGATTTAGAAATGAGACCTCATGCAGGAGGGAAGGGGGAATATTGAGAGAAATAAAATACTCATATAGATATGCACACCCATTCTTTGAAGCATCTTCCTTCATTTTTCCTATGTAAACCTAACTCCATTGCCAGACATTTTGAAGAGCTAGACTGTTGTTAGATGCATACTCTCCACAAAACATCAGTCTCCCTTCTTCTAGTGCCATCCTTGTTTTCTTCCAGTGCATTCTGGAGAGGGAAACTACTTATCTTTCTCTGTGGTCCTGCAGGGCAAAGGACAAGCAGTGGAACAGATGCTGAACAGAAGTCAAAACAACAAGATATCTGCAGTTCTGTGTGACTTTCCCCATGTTTTGAATAGTGGAAAAGCATAACACTTAAGTAAACATCAACCCAAAGAAAGCCCGCTGCTTAAATTGTTTCAGAATGGTAACCTCCTCTAATTACATAAATGTTGCAGCATTTCTTAGAATGGAGAAAGAGATTTACATTTCTAGCAGATTGACCATCTGCTAGATAAGCTGGATTGGCTCGTGAAGTATCCTACTCTATCCCACTTACTTTTATGCATTTGAAGAAGAACGTTAAAAAAGTAATTCTATTGCTATGAATTACCAATACTGCTCAAAGACTTCTGTCAAATTATTTCCAGAACACTATCAGGTGATCAATGCACAAAAAGAAACTTGCATTCCCTGCAGCAAGTCCCAAAACTATGGTGTTTACTCCATTCCTTACAGGATCCTGCAGGGATTTTAGCTATGGAATTAAGGATGACACAGGAAATCAAATGGGTTTCCAGACTCGTCCTTCTTCAGCAAAACAGTATCAGCTCATCAGGAAAAAGCAAGTATCAGTATAAGCTGAGGTAGTAGTAATTCTGCAGCTGAGTCCTTTCCATTGTGAGGACTTCCAGGTGGCCTTCAAGGGTGACAGTAGTCTCAGATATGCCTTGTGAGAATTTGATTTGGAGGGCTTTATAATCAGAACTGTGGCAGATGAGTTTGGTTTACATTGTCCTACCAGATCATTTGTAGGACCAAATATTTGCAGTTCCAGCAGTCTTTATTCTTGGTGTCTAGATTTTTCCATTCTTCAAATTCACTTTGTGTCATGAAAAGAGTCTGAAGCAATGCCATGAATTGAAACTGGAGAGATTTCATGTTCCTCAAACAAATTAGACTTTTGCAGGGAGGAAAGGGTCATGATATTAGTCAGGCAAAAGAACCATTGGCTTCCGTGAGACTTTGCTAGAATGAAAGCTAAGTCAGAACTTCATGGTTTCTCCAACAGATTGAATCTTCCTGAATTCACCCTAATCTCTTATTTTCCAGGTAAGAGCACGTTTTATTAATCTACCATATCACTGTGCTAAGAAGTAGTTTCTATAAAAGGGTGATCATTAATAAACAGTTCTTATATAACTCTTCCCACTGCAGACTGGCTTTTCAAACATTAATTAATCTTCCTCCACATTCCTGAGTGGGAAATACTATTCTCATTTCAGTTCTGAAAAAAGAGAACCGCAGAGGGGCTGAGTTGCCCACACAGTGATCTTTTTTCATTAGCAGGACTTGAATCCAGCATCCCCACCAGTGCTTACACCACATCTTTCTCATTCTTAGAGCTGACAAAAGCATAGTGAGAACTGGTTCTCCCAGTCTGAAATGCATGCTGTTGATTACTTTTTAACACTGTGCAGCTCACACATAGCAAGTGAGAGTGTGCCTTTCATAAATTTTGTCCAGTGGCCTTCCTTTCAGCAGCTTTGACTTTTTATCTTCAATTTTCCTTGCTGGATGGGCTCATCATCCTTGCATGTGGTAGATTTCAGCCTGAATCTCAGCACTGGGAAGTGGACTTGATCTTTAATTAGGTAGCCAAGCTCAATAAAAACAGTGGGAGTTTGTAGAACGTAAACCACTCCAATTCCTCCTGCATTCAAAGGATATATTTTTGCTGTGACCTGATGTGAATGCTGCCTTAGGAACAAGCTGGGTAAGTAAGCAGAAATACAGCAGTGCAGACCAAATGTCACAAATGGGGAAGAGGGAGAGATTTTTTTGTGAGGCCACCAGACAGTCTCCTATGATGAACCTTACTTTCCTTCAAATTTGAAGACCGATATGAAGATGTTACACAACTGCATTACAGGGGGGGAAACAGTATAATTGCAAGCATTGAGTGTTTCATAAAAGAGAGCTCTCTTCTAAGTTCTGGGCTGTAGCACCTTGCAATTCTTTGGATAAGCAAATTCTCACTCTGCTTTTACTTCTCAATGAGTAAAATTAATTTAAAATATTTTCCTGTTAAAAGAGGGATTTGAAATGTATGACTTAAAAGACTTCCTCCTCAAATATCTAATGGCTGTGTTGCTGTCATTTTGAAATAGTTACACATTTGGTCCTTGGCAGCCTGTGAGCTGTGTTCCAGCCAGCTCTCCACATACATTTTGCACAATCTGTCACCAGTATGAGACAGAAGGAAACAATCCATGTTTTTAGTGGAAACGGGAAACTGGAGGAATACATGCTGATTTTTTTTTTCTTTTTGGTCACTGAATTTTGGCCTCCTCATTGTCTTTCTTTGCTTTTCTCTGTTGCCTCCAGTTCTTTCTTCTCACTGTGCTGTGTCAAGTACTAAATTTTGAGTTAACTTTTGGCAGGAAGTTATTCCTCAAAGTTGGCTTCCTGTCCTACCATTCACTCAAAAAAAAACCAACCAACAAACCTGTCCTTGTTTGGCACTGATTTGGTAATATAGTCTCCCCTGTTACAGTTGTATACAGACTGGCACATCTAGAGATCTCCAACATTAACAGTGCATTTTTGACCTCCACTGATAGAAGGACATTACATTCATCCCTCTTTGATCAGTACTTCACACTATACACCTGTAGTATGAGAGCAGATATTTAGTAACCCATTCCATAGGGAGTTTTCTGCAGGTAGAATAGGGAGGTCAGTAGTCCTTGTTTCAGTGCCCCCAGAGGACAAGTCCCAGAATCTACCTGCTGTATTAAAATCACAATAACTTTGACCCCCAGTGCAAAACATGCAGAGCTCAACAATACAGCTGTGCACATTTCAATAAATGGGTTGCTAGCCAGGGCAAAGGTGCAAACAACTATCCTACATGAGTAGAAAATGTTCAACTGCCAGAGTCAACTCTGTTCCCCTCTTACCATGTGTTCTATTCCATGTCTGTTATTCTGTATTTAAAAAAATACATAAATTTAAATGTCCTTACCTATCTAATCTTGTCTTTTCTACCAATAATGTAGTCAATGGATGCCAAGAATAGCAGCTATGGTGTGAGAGTTGTTTGTCGAGTTCATCTGAACAAGCATCTTATTCTAGATCTTACTCCTTATCTACTTAGGAATTCACTATAAAGGATAATACCAGGCAGTGATTACTAAATAACTTGTTAGGTCAGCCATCCCTGTGCCTCTTGTGGATATATAACAGAGCAAGTTGCATAAATCCAGTTTCTAAAAGTAATTGTACATACATGTAAATCTATCAACCACTCATCTTCAAAAATGCTTTTGTCCTCAGAACAGCACATTTAACTTCGTTCTGGCTACTAGTATTTTAAAAAGGCCTTTTGGAGTTTTTCCAAGTGAAATAAGCTTAGTAAAAGACCTGAAGAAAATACAGCTGAAAGAAGTCCCAGTAACTGTTTACAGACACAGAAGACATTGTTTTCCCTTAGGAACAGTGCAAGAACTGCTAGTCTTGGACTTCAGCAGAGAAAATGTAGGTTAAGTAACTAGAGAAACCTTAGAATTAAGTTCCTGATGAAAGAATCAGCTTCTACAAAATACTGCAAGGTCAGTGTCTCTGGGTACATAAAATGTTGCATTAGTCACTGATCCATCAGAGATTCTAGGAAGGTTTCAGTCAATGCTCATTTTGCACAAGGAATGGGTCTGAATGTACAGCTCAGTCTCAGTTCTACAAAAAAATGTACAGTTCTACAAAAAAAAAATGTGATACAACTATAAGTTGCTATGCTAAAATAGTTTATATGGGAATAAAACTAAAAGGAGATGAGGACATATGGGTAAAAGGGTTTTAGAGGTGGGCAAGGGAAATCTTCCATAGGTAGAGTAAAACAGAAAAAAAAGGTGGAATTATGTACATAGTCCCATGTCTCCATGGGAACTTGATGAAAGCATATAAGTGAGGAGGGGCAGCAGGAAAGTTAGTAACTTGGAGAGATTCAGCAAAGACTAACTTCTCTGGATAAAGGGAGTAGACTTTGGAGTCATGGAACTCAAGCACTACAACTGATTGCAACTTTTAAACCAGAATACAAGTTTCTAGATAAAACTTCAGAGAGGGTTGTTCTTTTTAAAAAATAGTAAGTAATATATAATAAACACTATTAAAATAGTAGAAGACTATTTAAGAAGACTGCTCAGTAGAAATAATGGTTCCCCAGCTGAATATGACAGTGACATAACATCAGTTTTCATGAAACATGTAGGCATTCATTCATTCATTCATTCACTCTGTACCTCCTTTAAAAATCACCTGTTCTGTTTATCACGAAGTAGTTTACCTCATACTTGCTTGACATCAGAGGCTTGGCTTTGCCTTGCTTTTCAAGCCCTACTTTCCACTCTCTTTAAGGCACCTGCTGCTTCTCCTAGCCAGTTGCTTAAGGTACATTTGTGACTGCTTTCATACAGCTGCTGGGCCATTTGGCTACATTATCATTTGCAGTCTCCTATCTCCCACCAGGCTTCCCTGCCACTGTTGTTATTTAAGCTATTCCAAGGGAGCTCAAGGCACAGCACTATCCAGTGCAACTGGTTGAAAATCTGACCACCTAGTTTTCTACTTGGTGATGTGATGAAACAATGCATTTCATGATTATCCTAGTAATTTTATTGATGCTTCGGTCAAACATTTTATTCTGAACTTCTACTACAGTATATGCTCAATAAAACCAGATTAAGTATTTCAGAATATTTCATTCCACAAAGCAGACATCCAACCACCTCTTCCTAAAAACGCAGGAGGACAAAATATTTTGAGCTTTGAAAACCTTTACCACATTTACATTTCCAGTCAGTTTTAATGTTGGGACCAAGCTTAATACTGGTGTATGTCTGAATGCCTCTTAGAGAAAAAGGCAGGTCTTTTCAGAGATAGCATTTTTATTTTCCAACACAAGGGGCCGTGCCAGCTGGGCATCACTCTTGCATCATCTTACTGACACACAGCCTAGTTTTTTTTCCAAAAACCTTTTTATAACTGATGAAATCTATTGATAAATTCTTGTTTCCCATAAATATGAATGTGTAAATATGATAAAAGAGCAAAGTAGTTTTTGACTATAAATAATTTTTTGTGCCCATGCAGTTTTATAAGAAAATTAATTTGGTTTAACTGTGTTTATGCGTTCTTCTCTATGGTCATTTTCAAAACTCAAATATCGGAATACTTGCAGAAAAAGCAACCAGGAGGCAAATTAAATAAACTACAGAAAAAGCAAACTGTTGGCCCATTAAGCTAATTATTTATACCAATAATGTGGTTGAAAGAATAATGCTTTCCTAAACAGGAAATACATACACCGTGTTTTACCTGTACGTTTCCATGTAAAACAAACCTATCCGCCCAAAACATCTGCACAAGGAGTACTGCAAACCAATTTCTAACCTACCAAAATTAGATTGAGTTTTATCTATAAAAATATTCATCAAGTAATTTCAAAGAAAAAAATTAGCCCAAGAAATCCACCCAAGCAGGATAATAAGCCAATTACTCATAATTAATTGTATGTCATGTTTGTATAGAAATTTAACAAGGGCAGGATATACTTCAGGATGATGACATTACAACTGGGACAGTTCTTCTTCCCTTCTGCTCTAAACTCAGGTAAAAGAGTTCTGTTGTCATATAACCCTTTTATCAGGTGTCTACAATGGAAAAGGAAAAGTCACTGTGCAAAGTCTGGAGTCTGAAACTCCTTATGACTCACCTGTAAGTTTCCTAAAAGTGAAAAGCATCAGCCAAATGAAATAGGAAAGTTTATATTTCCAAAACCAAAGACGAAATTTATGCTCCAAAATGTAAGACAAGGCAAAATTCCATCAATACAACGATGTATGAGATCCTTGACTTCAGGCTGGATTTCTGCTGCCTGCTTTGATATCTTCAATGTTTAATCTATTCTGTGCAAATCACAGCTATGCATGTTGTGGGTTCTTGGTAAAATCCAAAAGCAGTGCAAGATCAGACAATAAGGAGTCATTACATTCAAAATGACTACCACTGACAAGTGTCCTTGGATTTAGAAGGATGTTCCAGAAAAAAGATAAAGAATGATATGCATGTACCAGTAAAAGAAACCTGTAGATTTCAGCAAGATACATCTTGGGCACTCATAGAAGTCTTAGAAGACACATTTTAGTTCTTCCAGTGCACTAGGATGGCTATTTAACTGCAGCATAAGTCTTCTGACTCTTCATAACTTAAAGGGCTCTTCCTTCTTGACCATTTTTTTGTCACATGTCATGTCCCATTCATATGCAAGTCTTTCCGTTTCTGGGCACGTACAGTCACCTGGTCTCACCAGACAAGAATATGATTTTGACACATGGAATATAGTTCTTATTCACCATGCATGCTCCTTATTTCCTCATGTTTTCAAAAATCAGCAGAAAATACCCCCATAGATTGACATAGGAAGGGTTATTCTTCTAAGGTCTATAACGTTGCAAGATAGGAAAATAATAGAAAAGGGAGTTCTAGTTGTCCTCAAAACCACCTGTTTTGGATCACAGAAGTGAAGATCTGCTATTCTCCTACTTCCATTAGCTTTTTTTAGGTTATTGTCTTACAGGCTAGAAGGTACCTGGTAGGACAAATTACAATTGTATGTACATTCTAGAGTAAGACTTAAAGATGGGATGCCTCAAAAATAATCAGGGAAGATAAGTGCCCTTCACAGAAATGACATAGTGAAGCAAAAAAGAATATCAAAAGAAGAAGGAAGGCGTCAAGGACTAGACTGTAAAAAAACCCCAAACCATTTTGTAACAAATATTGGACTCTTCACTCATACTAGGACTCTGGTACCCTCCTTCAGTGTTGATGCTCGGCTCTAGTATAATTTTTCTGTTCAGGCAATGCCTTGCTTCACCTGCAGTCCAACTGCAAGATGCCAAACAGCAGGGCTGTATTCAAAGGGAATATGTATCAAAACAAAGCATTTGAGATGTTATTTGTTTCTTAAAAGAGCTCAGCTTTTGATGATGCCACAAGTCTACTTTCTAGTGAGGGATAAGACCTTCAGAATTTAGCCCAGTGAGATTTTAAAAGGACCGAAGGGAAGAGAATCACCAAATATATCAAGAGACACAACAAGGGTGAAGTACCTTTATCGGAGATTTTTGAGTTATGCTTTTGTTTGTAACTATCTGAAACAGAGAAAGAAATAGAGGGTGAAACTTACATGGGGGAAAAGAAGACAAAAGGCAGAGAAGCCAGAAAAAGAGAAAGAGAAAGAAAATATAAGAGATGATTTATTAAAGGGCAAAGGAAAGTGGAGTCTTGCCGAGAACTTAATTTTATTTCCTTCATGCAAAAACACCAAGAGCATCAGCAGCAGGTGGCAAACATGCAAGTCAGAGAGCAGCAGAATATTTTGCTGTAATATATGAAGCCCTGAGTGCACTGAGCTGGTAGGACCAGGCTGGAAGCAGAATAAGCTGTCTAGTTGCTACTTACTGTCACAAACATAGGGCTTGTCATGATCATCCTGGGAGGCAGCATCATTCCGTCTCCTGCCACCTCCAGATCCCCGAGCCTGCAAGGACAAGAGGAATGTTAGAATTATTCCGTCACCCCTCAGGTCTCCTTGTGCCCCACACCCTCCTATGAAAGATATACAGTATAAACGAAAATCCTCTGCTTCCATACAGGTTTCTCAAAGTGGTCTTGACCCTTCATCTCCTAAGATGTGCACTATGTTAATGGGCCTTGTAATGCAATGGAGAACCTCTCCACAGACAGCTCAAACTGTTCATCCATAGCAGTCGGTCACTGCCAGCACATATTCAGTTGAGTATCATCACACATTCATTTCTGAAGATGTTCAAATACCTTGCTGAACTGAGTATGAATGAATGAATAGATGAACAGGTGTTGAAGGATATCTGCAAACATTAAATCAGCCAGAAAACAGGCCCCAAATAAAAGAGAGGTCAAATTATTTCCTTCAGTATTTTCAAAGGGCCATTGTTTGTGTTGTTATGTTTTGTTTTCTAGCTGAAAAGCAATGTTTTGAAATGGCCTTCTGGGACAAAGATACCATGGCTAATTATAAAAAGCAGTTTTGGTCAGTTAGTGGAAAAGATTAGATAATGTGGCTACTTGCAACAACAGAAATTACCCAGAAAGGTCTCTCTGCAGTTCTGTGTTCCTAAAATGAACCAAACTGGCAGATATAGAAACTGAAAAATTTTGTTTCTCCATCACAGACTGCTCTGTCTTGAGCTCCAGGGGTGAGACTGGAATTCAGCATTAAAACTACTTGGTCCTGACCCTTCTCAGCTGAGATGTCAACAAAGGAACAGCTCATATCTGTCCAATACTGGAGTTGTGATGTGGAACTGGGAACTGAGCCAAGGCCTTCAATTCTTTCATGTTCACTAATGTACAATCTGTAAATGACAATAGTTTTAGACTTGATCTTTGTTTGAGGAAGTGATCACAGGTGGATGACTAAATAGTCCTTTATTAATTCTGCTAGCTACTCTATTCTGGGAAATAAATGGAAGAATTGCTTCTGCTGCTCCTCTTATTAAACTGTTCATATTTGTCACTCTAGACAAGGCCATCTGAGTCAAATCCTGCTAGCCTTTGCATGTGAAAATAAGGAAGGGACAGAGCTTTGTTAGGTAAAGCTGAAGAAGGTGTAGAAATCCTGAGAATACTCGCACCCAGCCATAAAGGGGCTGTAGAAACTCCATCCATCTTCTATGAGCTTGGAACAGAACTAATACTATTAGAATTTTGTTCCACTGGATATCTAAAGAGAAGTAATAAGGAACAGTTTTACACTGGCCTGACAAAGTCTGTCAAAATGGGGATTTATAAAAACTTCACGTTATTTCCCTGGGATTGCTCAGGTCGAACTCTTAACACAGTCCCAAAGGAAAGCCATGGATTTGCAGCTATCTGGATGGGGTAAATACTATTATGTATGACAAGGACAAATCTGCCTTCTGCAAAGACCTCTGTGCAGTCCAGCACACATGTGCAGAGCAAGATTTGTAAGGGTGAACTGAAAAGTGGTTTCACCCTAGAAATGGCCTCAGCAACAATTGTTTGGTGGAAGCTTCTTTACTGACCATATCACATAAAATCATCCTACTAGTCTGCACTATTTTCTCTCTGGCTGCCAGCTCTTTAAACCCCCTCTGGGCAATGAAATCAATCCCAGGCTAGTTCTTTTCTTCCCTCACTACTGCTAAATGTGCCGCAAACTGAATTTCAGTCCATGGTAGCTCGTCCACAACCCTCAACTCATCAGCGAGTCTTCACATAGACAAGTGATTGGCCCTTATAAATATTTCTGCTGGTACCCAGATTAGGATCTAATTTCCCTATCTCACCAGCTACATTGGCTTTTCAGAGCTATGAATAAGATGTTAAGTCTTACATTTGTCACTAGTCAGTAGCTCTGACTCTATTCACACACTGGGAACACACCTGTTGAGTTAGAAGGTAGTATTTTTACATAGGTACGTTTCAGAATATGATACTAATTTAAAGTTTATTGCTCAGAATTTTGCTAAACTTACAGCCAGCTGTTTCCTTTCAAACTGTCCTCTACAGAAATGCAGGGGCATAGCATTCATGGCATGACCACGTGTCAGATACACTTTTTCATGCAATGAACACAGAGGGGGGGATTTTTCAAGTCAATGACTTTCAATGGGACTTGGTTTCCTAAATGTGCTTGGTGCCTTTGTCCCACGGGATATCCAGCTGATGAGCAGACAATCTGTACAGGTGCAGCTGTGTACATCTCATATCTCCTTGCAACCTACCCTGCCCAGCTCCTACCACATTGCCCCTGTCCAGCAAAGACACTAAAAATCTCCTGAAAATCTATCTCTCCAGCCTTCAGTGTCCTTCCTATGCTCCCTTGATTTCAGGGCTAGCCTTGAGGGGAAAGGAAACCAAGGAGCTGCCCCAGAGGCACTAAACTGAATGCCCCACACTTGCTGTCTGTGTTCCAGGCTGTTGAATTCAGTCATCCATGGCTGCCTTTATTCTCCTGACAGGATGCAGCAAAGACTACAAGACCTGACATGTGAGGCCTGGACCCATGGCCCAGCAGCCTGGAAGCAGCCCTGAAGCAGCCAGAGAGAGTAGCCAAAAGGACAGATGGAGAGTCCAGGATTAAAAATAAAATCATGCTGTAGGGAAAGGAAGGGGCATGTGCAATTTGGAAAGTCCAGAGCAGTAATTCCGTTGCATTAATCCTGCATTTATGCTGTTAGTCCTTCTCACTCCTCTGAATCCCCAAAGGTCACGCTCCACAGGATCCTGTTTCTTATGCATGTCCTTCTCCTCTTCTGCCCTCTAAAAATACCCTAACCAAGTTCTTCCCAGAGACAAAGAGCTGCCCAGGATTCATGTCCCCTAATTTTAAATCCTTAGCCTCAATTCCCTATAATGGTTCAGGCTAGAAAAGGGCTGCCTTTAGAAAACTGACAAAGCACTTGTGACCAGATGCAATTCAGGCTTATCAGTTTTCAACAGCTAGGTAACCTGGCCCTAATTTTGAAATACTAATTTCTACCACATTTTGCTTTGGTTATTGATGCCATCAAATAAAACTAAAAATTGCTTGAAGTATTTGGCATTATTCAAATTTCTCTTTTTTGCACTGAAAGAAGCCAGGGCACTAGCAGATCAGGAGTTAGTTGCAAGAAAAAAGCAAGCAACCCTGCTTCTCCTGTACCTAATAGGGGGCAAGTTCTAGGGCAGAAAATAAAACATAAATGTATGCTTCAAAATGAATGGGACATCTAGTACCCTCCAACTCCTTTCCTTACAGTAACAGAGAAAAACTTCTGTAACATTTTCCTGATCAAGGAAGCAAAATCTTGCATGTAACACTAATTTCAGGACTTTATATAGGTCTGGGACATATGAATACACCAAATTTCCTTCTCCTGAGCAGTATATCTCTCTTAGATATTCATTCCCTTTCACTCACCCTGACCAGCATGTGCAGTTTACATGAAAGCAACTTATTAGAACAGAGTTGTTAGCCTGGAATATTAGTTGATTGCTACAGTCAAGCTTATGTGCATGTATTGATTCTATCTCCTGGTTTTGGTTACTGGTTCATACAAATTTTCTGAAACTTACATTTTTCTGGAAAATTTTTTTCCAGGTGGGGGTCTTTGGCTAAGAAAGAAAGAAAGAAAGAAACTGGTTCAGGTGATTTTGAGAATAAGGAAGGTGAAATATATACTTATCCAATTATTAAAGTGCTTTGATCTTATATTAAAGGACTTAAGCTCCAAAATAAAGAGGAGCAGAAAACTGAAACAACACAACAACCAAAGAAGAAACCAAAAGAGAGGGTCTGATGCATAAGTACATTGCAAGTATTCAATGTGGTTTCACGTCTCTTATTCAAAAGCTATTATATTCTGCTCATTTGGCCTAAAATGTGGCCCTTCTTGCTTGACTTCTATGAACACATCAAAAGGTACTTCTAGAGCTCCTGTGCCCCTGCAGCATCCACTGGAGCCAAAGAGAGATGAAAATGCTCAAATCTTCTGAGACTTGTGTTCACATTTATTTAGATGCCTAGGTCATGGGCCCACAATTGAAAACGTTGGTTCCAAGTTTAAAATGTTGGCCTCATTACTTAACTGGTACCCTGATGAATTGTGAAGACATCTTAGGTAAGAGAAGGGACACAGAGTCCCCTAAGGATAAAATATTGCCCTTTTTAAGCAAATGGAAGATTTGCCATGGGCTCAAGAGAGCCAGCGTCAGCCACAAAATGCTACCCTGGAGAAAGCTGCAAAACTTATTAACACAGTTCAAGTTACTTTTATTAATACTTTTTTGGCTGTCATGACTGAATTTGCTGCTTTTCTGTAATTAGTAGATGTTTTTTTAAGGAGCATTGTAATAGCAGGATGTCATCATAGTTATTACAGCTTACATTACAATTGTAAGTACAATACTAAAATAAATTTCCCCCAAATTCTTACTCTCAAAATAGTCCTTTTTTTTTCACAGCAATTCATAAAAATAAACTGAAAAAATATTAAAATCTATTACATATGACTGAAAATTACCTATAGTGTTATCACTATCATATATTCAAGGAAAAATACTTTGCATACATAATACACATAAGAAATATACACTAGAAAGCAGAGGTTTGCTTTCTTCCTTTCCATTCCAGTAAACTTTCCACTTACCCGTCCTCTAGGCCTGTTCTTTCGTTTTGGAATATCTTCTTCCAAGTCTTCTTCCTCGTTCACTTCATCTGCATTTTCATCATTTTCTAAAACCCTCTGTGATTGAACAATAAATAGGAATGGTTAGAAGGAAAAAGGACACATACAAGCAACTACTGCTTTTTACCACAGTGGCTGTGGGTTATTATCCTTGATATAAAGCCAAATCAGATCCCAGTACCCTTGCTTCCCTCTACCAAAGCGAAATTTGCACTCTTTTCCACTTTGAGATCTCTAGGGAATTCCTACTAAAAAAAATACTACTGATATCAGTCACCTATGGTAAAAAGGTTCCTAAGAGAAAATACTGGCATCACTGAGCACCAATGTTCCAAGACAACACAAATATTAGTATGCATAACTGCAGGCCCTGTCTGGGAATTTGTTTGCCTGGGTTTTTTATTTTCATTTGTTGCAATTTAAATTGTTTTGTTTTCTTCTAATGTTGAGAGTACACTTTAGGAATACAAAAGCAGTGGTTTTCTCCTTGGTAGCTCCCAATCTTCTTTCTTTAGCAAAAATAGAGAAAATTCCTCCATATATTCCAGAATGGATCTAGAAAGCCATGTTTTTCGGGGCTTGCACCACAGGTAAAACTCAAATCTGGAAGCTGGAAGTTTGTTGCATGAGAATGCTGAGGAATTACAGGTCTCATTGAGGTTAACGGTACCAACAGCAATGATTTGTTCAACTAATTATTTATTAGGAATAATACTTCATTCATACAGCTCACAAAACTGTGAGATGCCTGGGCCAGGAAATTTAAATCTTTTAACCTGATCTTTTGAAATGTAACCTCTACAGAACCAAACACGGGCTGGCTGTCCTGCATGGAAACATGCACAAGTCAGACATCACATGGAAAAAGGCCAGACAAATCATCACAACACTAATGTGGGAAGAAGTCCCATTGAAATTCCCTCAACCCTTGGCATGTCTGCTAGAAATACAGAGACTGGCCCCAGCCACTCCTGCCATTTATGGCTCTGTGCCATTTTGCAAGGGACTAATCTGGAATCACTAACTTACCCTTGCCATGTGAATATTCATTTAAATTACAGCCACAATGCAGACTCAAATAGTGACATTAAACTGATAGGAATGTTTTTCAGTCTTACTGTATTTATTCCTTCTCTCTAATTTCTACTTAAAAGATATTTGAGAGTCAGCAGAGGGGGAACATGAGCAAATCAGTTTATTTTTCTCCTTTCCACACACCTCAAGCACCAAATTCTGAATTTGTGGGATAGAATACAACAGAAATTTCACATTTCAAAAAGTCTGTATTTAGAAGACCAGTTACAAAAGTTTATTCTTTTATCAGCTAGATTTATAAGACTAATACTGGTCAGTGCATTACTAACAAGTTGTAGCACATGACAAGGATCTAGTCTTCTTCTATTTTTGAATATCAGGAAGCTATTAATGAGCTCCAACCATCATGAAATACAATTTTACATAATATTGGAGGTACTAAATACTAAGGATGTAAAAGTTAAGCAGGTTCCAGTTCTGCATACATAAAATGTTTCTTCCAAATTCATACAACTGCACACATTAATTGACTCCATCTTAGGACTGAAGTGCTTGAAAAATGTTGTACATGAGGAGACTGTAAGAAATGTAAGAATGTATGTAAGAAAATAAGCAAACTTACTGATATGAGTTTGTATTTTTATATTGTCCCATATCTTAAATCTTAAAGTATCTCAAAAAACCCCCAACAAAACAGGGGCAACCACATCTTATGTGGGACAGAAATAAGCTAATTTACAACAACAATACTACACAAGAGTTAAGAGAAATCACTTTCTTCCTTTAAAATTGAAGCATCAATTTAGGAAAGAGAGATAATATGTAACCAAGTGAATTTGGTGACACTGCCAGAGTAATTCTTTTAATGCTTTTATAGAAGGGGCATAACCTTTCTGCTGCATGGTCAGAAGGCTACTCTAACTCTTCTCCATCCAACAATGGAGACACACATTCAATACTAATTTACTGTAGGATAGAATTGTCAATCCTGTTACATACCAGCTGTACAGCAGCTCCCAGTGCCTGCATCTATTTAGCAGGGGGAACCCTTATGTGTTTCAGCAGAATAACTTTTCTTTTCCTATAATGTATTTCTAAATCAGTTTCCCAGCCCTATGTACTTTGGTGCAGCTGAGCACCAAGGCATCTTCTCCTGACAGATACTTTGAATTTGGGAGGGTGGCAAGTGTCTGGGACTGAGGTGGGAATTACAATTATGTCTATCCCACCTGCTCACTCTCACCACCATTGAGGCTGGGCCCTTTGGAGTCACAGCACAGACAAGTATGCAAAGGAACAAAAGAGAGATTTGCACTCTCTTATTTGTCACACCGATAAAGGCACTGATTGTGATTTTGATCTGGTACAGTCTAGCTGCCAGGTGCCAAAGTACACACTGAAAGCTGCATACTAGTGAAGGCTTTGGCAATCATTGTTCTACAGACTGAATCCAGATAAGCTGTGCTTGCATAAAATAAAGCAGCAAGACATGCCTTTTGCATCTGCTCTGATGAAACCGGCATCCAGGTGACAGGTCACAGTTACAGCAGTTTAGCTGAAAATCTGTTCTATTTTTTTGCACCCCCTCCCTGCTCTGCAATGCCTGGATTTATGTCAGTTCCACTATCTCTGAGGTCTCTTTCCTCAGACTGCTGCTGGGGATAATTTGGGAGTTCAGATCACACAGCAACATTCCAAGGCACTTCTCAATTTCCTAGGGATGCTGCACCATGACTTCTTGTGACCTTGGAAGCAGGTGAAAACAGACCTCAGTGAGAGCTCTCAGCTTAACACACCCAGATATACTACTGAAGAAGCAAACATAGAGCAGGGCTCCTGCCAAGATTTTCCCCAGTCCGTGAGCATGCTTCCTCTTTGATGGTGCTCATCTACCTGTGCAACTGGGAATGGGAGACCCAGTTGTGCTGCCCTCACCTGTGTGAAATTTCTAACAAATAGAGCAGTAAGACTGAACTCCAGGTAATACAGATTTGATGCCTATGTTTTTCTGTTTCATTTGGCGTGGGACTGACCTCTCAAAATTTTACTACTTTTAGGTATAGATGCAATTTTTTGTATCTCACTCAGAATTACCAAGTTTGACACATTGCTAATAACTCTCACTAAAAATCCCTAGAAAGACTCCTGGCACAATGGTGTTTTAGCATCATGAAAGATGTGCTGCTGTGGGAGAGGCCCACTTTCCTAGTGATATAAGATGTTTTAAAAGTGACATGGGCTTATGCAAGAACCCTTTATATTAGCTGAATTCCTTCTATAATAGACCTACAACTGTGTTTTGGCTTTTAATTGTTGAAGGATGGAATGGAATCTTGACAATTTTCAAACCATAATGCACGTGAAGAGGCAATACTTCTCACACTGCATCACTAATAATAACTGAGATATTTAAGATTACATTTTAAGCTATTTGTTTTTCTTGTATACCTTCAGAAGGCTACCTACTAATAAAAAAATTAGGAAAGACAATGACACGTTTTAGTCTACAACAGCTGTGAATCCAAATTGAAATCCGTGAAACTCACTTTAAATGTGAACCATTAAAATTCAGTTTATAGTTGGGATCCACCTCAGCTTCTGTTTTTTATGTACTTATCTCATAGTGCTGCAAAATAAATTCCAACACAGGACCTGTGCAGAACACAGTCAGACAACAAAGATTCTTGTGACAAGAGAAGAATGTGAGATACTGACATCATTTTGAGCATCATAGTGTAGCACAAAGGTTTGATAACATTTTGGCAGTAGAATGACACAACTTATCAGCAGATATACTGCTCTGCCACAAGACAAAAGACTGCTAGACATAGAGACAAATTGTAAAATCCAGCCCTGATGTCAGGGCGTGGGGCTCTCCTTTACCTGGATTTCTTGTATAGTGTCTTCCTCTTTAGTGTCTGTTTTTTTCTCTATTCCCTCTCCACGCAGCAAGGCTTCCAGAGTTGTACTTTCTGAGGTGAACCCATCTTTTTTCAGAGGCAGATCAACTTCTGAAAAACAAAACACACTCACTTTGTGTCTCCCCCTAAGAGCTAACAAGAAGGACAGAGACGTCAAGCAGATGATAAGCAAACTTTCAGACTTGTTTCTATCTTGAAGGGGAGCTCTTCAATTTCATTTAACCACTAAGAAACTCCATATATGATTAATTTCTATCCTACTGAAAACCTGGTATCTTTCCATTTGCTGTTCTTGTTTACAGGAAAAAAAGGCTGCATGTATTTTATCAGGAGGAAATAAATGGGATGAAAATCCTTCTCCTTTGTGTAAACTCCCTATGCTTCAAATAAAGAACAAAACTAGGAGTTTTTAAGATACTGAAATAACAAATATAAAGAATCTGATCTACTGAAGAAGAAAAGTAGCGTAATGCAATTTAGCATCTGGCACAGTTTATGTAGCACATCTTCAATCCTCATTCTCCTACACCTGGGCATGTTCCACATGTGGGAAAATAGAAAACTTGTGTGGAGGGCCAATGCTGAGACCTTACATTGAAAAACAGAGACATTTCTTGAATTTTCCTGTAATACTGACTAGATAAAATCTCTGTTTGGCTCCAGCTGGTGATACCAGCAAAGAAACACAGTTATGAGAGCACAATCTTACCCATAAAATGGGAAAACACCCGGTCACTGCAGGAAGAGCCACAGGCTGGCTCAGAAACAGGCTGGGGACAGAGCTCCAAAGACACTGTGGATTTATGAGGAGGTTTGATGCAACTTGCTGGAGAAGTAAAGGAACAGAGCCTTATTCCCCTTTCAAATGCTGCCACTAGATTATGAGGCAGTGCAGCAGACAGGCAAATACAGCACATTAACTTTAGCAATAAGTTAAAATATACCTGGGCAATAATCCAGTTTTCCTTGTAGACCTAGCCTCTATCCCAGTCATACAGAGGCTCATTTAGAGCAATCCCCTGGCAGGGAAACATCCTGCACATGTCTTTTACCTGACACTGCCAGGTATGGATTTCTCAAGTACTCCTTCCTTCTAAAATTAATTCCTTTCTCTAGACCGATATATTTACAAGTAATGTACAAGAACGATGCTTACAAATCATCATCATCATCATAATTCACAGTTCTGTCTACTTATGCTTTAGAACAGTGTTTTGTTCTCCAGTCTGCCTGAAGCTCCCTGCCTTTCTATCACCATGAGCTGTAAATTCTGCAGGGCAGAAATTCATATGTTTTTAAAGTCCCAAATCACTCCTGCAAACCAAATAATGAATGAGCACTTCCACCTGGGACAGTAAAGTATAATCTGTTTCATGGGGGTAGTTGAATCCCAGGAATATCTTTGTTCTATATATGAAAAACTTTAAGTTAGCAAATGATTCAGTGTCCCTGATCAGTACTTCCACAATGTACTTGCTTCAGTCTTCTGAAGTGAGAGAGCATTGCTCAGCCAATAACCACAGAAAATCCAGCAAAAATTCCAGGAAAAGCTATTCTATTCATAGAGGGAAAGGCTGAGTACAAACCATGCAGAAAAACCAAACCACTGGGATTTTAAAGGAAACTCCCAGGACAACCCACACAATGGGATGGGGTCAACTGTGAATTGATCCCCCCTCTCATCACAAGGAGCTCTATTCAATCAGGCCTCTGTTTTCAGCATTAAGCTCTGCATACCCACCCCATTATGGCCCCTTCCCCAACTTCTCCCTGCTTGAGCTATAAAGAAGACAGAAAAGTCAAGAGAATCATACAGATTGAATTTCCCTGTATGAACTGCTAGTACCTCCCTCTGGATCCAGACATTTCAATAGAAAGAAGAGATTTTTGACTTGATTTATGTGCAAATCCCAATGCCTGAATCTGAAGTCACTGAGGAACCTCCATAATCATCTCTGGATGTGGGTTTGGCTTGGGTTCAAAGTCCTGTGCTTGGGTGCAAAAGGGCATTTGCTCTGTATTTAGAACCTTGAGGGACTGCAAACCCCAGGGGGTCATCATACATTCAGCAAGCAAAGAAGCTTCAAGCAAGCTCAAGGGCATTGGAAACAAACATGTCTTCACTGTGACAAGCTATGCCTGTCTCTGGATACCAATACATTCAGCAAATGAATGCATTAGAAAAGGAAATGAGCAAGAAAAGGCTGAGGGATAAGTAGAATATATATGAAGGTGGAAGTACTACTCATTTGTTCCAGAGATATCAAAAACTAAGTTTGAAAAGAGGAAAAGGTAGGTTTTAAGGTCAAAACAGGCAGTTGTCTTTAATAGGCATGATTGTTCTGTGTGGCACTGCTACTTCCCAACAACAACACTCCAGAAGGACTTCTCATCCAAAACTCTAAGAGCATTTTCTAGTTGCTAAATTTAACATTCCACTGATAAGGCGTTGTAAGGTAATATTTTTATTCACAGTTGATGGGGAGACAGAATCACCAAGAAGTTAGTGAGCTGGGCATCCAGTGAAAATAAACTCAGTGTCTGCCTCCCATTTTCCCACTAAGCTGACTGCCATCCAACTCCTTCATTTTCTTCTCCACTGCTAGCTTCTATGAATGCACTTTGATTCCTAAAGAGCTCTAGAAAGTGGGAAAAAGCAGACACTATCTTATTTGGAATGTAAAGTTTACAGCAAAAAAACCTTCTGAGGTCCAAATACAACCCCTTGTAATGAATTCAGTCTTTATAATTAATTCAGTCCTTCCTGGAAGATGGCTAGTCTGTAAAGGGTACAGTAATGGAGACAGGAAATTATGTTTCCAAGCCAGTTTTTGAATCCCCACAGATGAAAGTCTTCTAAAATCTAAAAGATAGTTCAGTTAACCTACAGAAATAGTTAAGCACTACCAGGGCTCATTAAATTCATTTCACTAAATCCCTTATTTTCTCTTTCCTATTCAACTATCCATGATTTTCCCACAAAAGCAAGAAAAGTATCTTCTACTCTTATGCCAGTACCCTAAAGAAAACTGAGGAGCCAACTCAAAAACCAAAATGTAGTTTTCATGTGAAAGATCAAGGCTTTCCCCAGTCCATGGGAACTGCTATTTGGAAGTAAGGTGGGGTCCGTTCCACTCACTCTCCTGCTTATGAAGGTACCAGCCAGTGCCTGAAGCTTCAAACAAGGCCAGAGGGAGACTCTTCTGGGCTTAAGAAATTAAGCTGCAACCCCATGCTTGCCTCTGCTTTGATATTGCTCATGCCACACTATGCAGTCACCTCACATGCTGCAGAAGAAGCTATGAATGTCTGTCACGAGAGAAATGCAAAAGAACTTACCTACCCTAACACTGCGTTTCATCCTGAGAGATAAATGCAGTATCTCTTCCAGTTATTCTAAATCTGGCTCTTCTGAAAATACACAGAATAGTCCAGCCCTTTCTGAATTTTGATACACTTTCAGCTCAATGTTTTCCTACCTGATAGAGTTCAACAGTTAAACTATGGTTTGAAAGAAAGAGTGTTTCACTTCATCTATTGCCAGCCCCCTTGTTCTTGCTGGGGAAAACAGAAGTTCTTGACCAAAATTTTTGTAATTTATTTTAATTCCTCTCCTTTCATGGATAAACAGTCACAATCTTTCTTATTACTCTGCTGTGGGAAGTTTTCCATATGGTCCTGACAAACCTCCTGAGCTTTTTCTTATTATACACCAGTCTTCCCAAGACGGACTAGTACTGCATCTGGCATTTTCAGATGAAACCACATCCCCCATTTAAACAAATGAATTACAATAGTCTTTAGATTACTCCTCAGGCTGTGTCTTTCAACGGCCAAGTTACTTACTAAGCAGAATAATTAGGAATCTTGTAATGGGGACAAGAACTTCCCGTAAGGAATACATTCAAACACACAGGTACCATATTAAAACACCCATCCCCCTGCCCATTCCCCAGCCACATTCACATTTCCCCAGAGTGCTCTGCGCACACCTTCCCAGACATGATTGCTCTCAATAACTTCACATTATGTGCAAATCTTTGTAGTTGGCAAGGTATTCCCACACTGCACCTTGTTCATTACTGTATTATACAACACTGGACCAAGCACTAAACCTTGATGCACCAGCTGTAAGCCTTTATCTACAATGAAAGTTCTTTCTTCCATTATCTTTTATTCCAAAAGTTTTGATCTAAGATAATTCTTAGCTTCTCTTTGGAGACGTACCAAAGATCTTCAGAAAGTTTAAGAAAATTGTCCTCTCTACCTATGTAAAGAATTGTAAAGAAGTAGTGAGGCATGCTTTTCCTTGATAGGAAAAAATGTTGGTTAGAACCTCCTATATCATCATTTCCCAGGTGCTTTACTGCTTATATGTAATTACTGTTTCAATCAATTTCTCAGATGTTCATGTAGAATTTATGTGTCTTTAAATCTTTGAATCACATCCAAATCCTTTTTAAATATAGGTAATAGCATTTTCTACCCGATAATTGTTCTAAGTTCTTTGTAACTTCTAGTTTGTAACACAAGCTCTTCTTCAAACAATACAATTTCAGAGAACATAATCTTTATTACAAGTAATAACTACCAGTAAAGTCACTATAATTAAAAGCTTACTCTTTCATATGAAAATTTTAAGAAGGTTTGTAGATAAATTTCCTTTTGATTGGTACCGCAAGTACAATAGCACATGGTTAATGTAGCAGATACAAGAACTAGTTAGAACTATACAAAATGGAAATGTCAAATGAACAAAAATCATCAATGAAAAATAAAATGCTATTTAAGAATTCTTCCTGTTTTAGTAAACCATCGTATTCTTGGTGTCACAGCTAAATATTGTGCATATATTAAAACTCAAATATGTGTGTGTGCATGTAATTAAAATTTATGTTTCTTAACTTGGCAGAGTCCCTTTCCTAGTGATTAAATTAACATGGTTATTTCTGCTTACCAGCTCAGTGCAGAAATCTTTGTATTTATTAAGGTCCTGAGACTGAAGTGGTAGAATCTGAACAAGCACTCATGCCAGTGTCATTCTTGTATCTGTTTTCTACTGAACTGCTGCCTCCAAAAGAAGCACATTT